AATTTAATTTTTAAAATTATTTTATGTTTAAATAATGAGATTACCATTTTGCCCTTATCAAGTTTAGTCAAAATCAATTTTTTTTTTTTTTTTGTCAAGTAACGATCAAATGGACAGTTTCCATCCATTTTGACCCCAACTGCTAATTTTTCAAAGGGTTGGAACCTCCACTGGTACAAATTGAAGGTTAGAGTAAAGTCTGCAAAAAAGTGAAAGATTAGGGACCGTTCTGCAATTTTTCCAATAATCTAATAGTACTTTGGTGATGAATAAGTTGGAGTAGAAATCACCGCAATACAATTTTGAGAAGAGTGATGCTACAAGTACATAATGGTCTACATAATGATCTACATAATTGCAAGTGGCATTGATCAACACCTTTAATTCAACTCTGACACTTTCACATCAACGACATGATGGTTGCCACATCATATTATGTCATCCATTGTGTACATTTATTATTTACACTTAGCATTTTCCTTTTGAGAATCCATAAGCTACTTGTCCCCTCTTGTTGCAGTTGCTCTATTAAGAGTTAATACTGAAATTATGATTTCTTTGAATTTTAGATTGAATGAATGATGATGTAAGACGTTATTTTTGTGAGTCCAATAGAAGAAGGATTTTGTGACTTTTTATTTGGAAAGAATTAGATGTCATTTTGGTGGTGGTTCTATAAATCAAGCTAATTTGTTTTATTTAGCTTTTCTAAAAATTAATCATCTGTTTGAGCCTCATTAAAGGGTAAGAATGTATTTTGGAATAGTAAATTGTTGAAAAATATGTGGTTAGAAAATAAGGTTAAATTTTAGGTTTGCGTATAATATTATTTTATTGAAAAATGTATAATTTAAAATAAAATAGAGAAAAATATATTTTTGAAAAAATGGGAATTGAACAAGGGCTAAATGTATTTTTAGAATTAAAAAAGGGTGGGTGGTAAAAATGAAATTAGATTTTGTATCTTAGTAATTTGTGAGCAAAAAATTAAGAAGTATGTCATTTATACATCACTTTCTTTATATCGTGGTTGACATCATCCATATTGTCAAGAATTGATTAGATGAAAAAATTATTTTATTTTTAAACTTTCCAATTATTTAATGACACGTGGCAGAGTGTAAAACGTGTATAGACTAAGCGTGATTCAAAAATTAAAGAATCATGTTAAGTGTACATTTCATGGATGATATCTTGATGTACATTGTGCGCAAATTCAAAAAGTGTTGAGCGAGAAAGTGAGTCGTTTTTTAAATTTGTTCAATCATGTGTTGATAAGTCCTAGAATGTAAAAATATATGTAAAACCAGATGTACATTGAAAATTAAAACCCATTAACCGCGGCCCAATTCCCCAAATCCCATCTGGCCAGTTCCTCCATCCCAGATCTCTCCGGCTGTCGACTCTCTGCTCTCTCCATCTATACGTATACGGTATACCATCCGACTGTAATAATTCAGGTGAGCGTGCTTGAGCAATACTTCACTTGTTATTTTTAAATTGAATTTATACCCATTTTCAGACGTGCAAATGTAGAATCAGTTGTCATTGCTGCTTTATGATCTGATAATTTTAGGGTTTATTTTTGGTTGATCAATTTACAAAATGTAGGCTTCTTTTTTGAATCTTTATAATTAAAGTGTCATTGATGTGATGTTTGATGCAGGATTCGTGTTGTGCATCCTTGTGCGTTCTGTAAATTTTTTATGATGATCTTACAGTATCTACCTTCAGAAAATTTAAAACCCGAACGTTTTGAAAGAAAAAAAAAAATCTTGTTCTGGACTTTAGATCTCAAAATGGAGTTCAAATATTTCAAAAAACGCATACACAGGGAGAAATTGAAAGTAATATTCATCATGAACTTTAAACATTCTTTTTTTATCATATCTCTGCGAAGTCACGCTTCTAGAAGCAAATACTTTTACGGTACTAAGGGCATGTTTGTTTTTGATTTTCAAATTCTACAGTAAATCAATTCTCATTTTCAACCACACATTTTTCAATAAAATAATATTTTCCATCACATCAATAATTTTTTCTTCTTTTTCAACCACACATTTCCCATTATATCCCTATTCAAAATAAATATTGGAGGGCAAAAATATATATTTAGGGCATGTTTGTTTTTTATTCTCATTTTCTACAGTAAATCAATTCTCATTTTCAACCACACATTCTTCAATAAAATAATATTTTCCATCGCATCAATAATTTTTTCTTCTTTTTCAACAACACATTTCCCATCATATCACTATTCAAAAATCAATTCTTCCCCCAAAAATCCTTACCAAACAAGCACTAAGTTGGTTTACAGTTCTAAACCCAATATTTCACAAAGACATTTGTAAATAAGATCACAATGCTAGCGATTAGGCCCAGAGAATTTGATTATTTAGGAATTATTGTGTTGCTCTAGTATTGTCGGAGCTCCATATTACCCCTGGAAACAAAAACGTTGTGATATTGACATTTACTTCAATAGAAATAATGTGAATGAATTTACTAAGAATGAATAAGTTATTCAACTTGCTAGTGTAGATAAGATAGATGAGAAGGAAGAAGATGATGTTCGACGTAAAAAATTAAATCAAGAGTATATTTTCTTTGAATTTGGAGGATCCTGGGAATTGGAAAAAGTATTGATAAAAAATGAGGGATTATTTAGTTGAAATGGGTCCAAAAAGAGTTGATGACATATTCTTCCAAATAGACATTTCGATTCTTCACCATATAAGCGGTTACTACCAAATGGGCAGACAAATGATAGAGTATGGTTAGTATATTCAGTATGTATGGACATGATCTTTTGCTTTTGCTGTCAGTTGTTTAAAACATCAAAACTTTTGACTAAAATTAGCAAATTGGGTAATGATAGATACAAAGATTGGCATAATTAGCATAGGTCTACTAAAAGTCATGAAGGAAATAAGGAGCATTTACGTTTGCATGACTAGTTGAATTGAATTGGAAAACAAGTTTTGAACAAAAAATACGATTGACAAAAGCGTGCAATTAGTGATCGATATAGAAAGAGAACATTGGAAACAGGTGTTAACAAGGATAATCGTTATTGTGAAAAGACTCGCTAAAAACACCTTGGCATTTCGAGGAGTTGTATCCTTCTTTGGAGTGATCCAACGAGTTTACACATTGTTTTCCTCTTCATTTTGTAATTGATCAAGCTCTATCTTCTCTAAAGACTCGATTTGAACAATTTAAACAATAAAAGAGACATTTGAATTTTTATTTTATGTGGAGAGATTAAGGCGTGCAACTTTTCCCAATTTGTTGAAATCTTGTATAAATCTTGAGAAATATTTGGAACATAATGGACGTTCGGATATTAATGGAGATGATTTATATTCTGAGTTACTGATCTTGAAGTGCTATACCAAGTGAAGCAATGAGAGCAATTGAAGTGCTACAATATTTGAAGACATTGAATAGTTATTTCCCAAATGCTTATATTGCTTATAAAATTTTGCTAACCATACTGGTTATACTTGCATCTGCAGAAAGAAGTTTTTTTCAAATTGAAGTTGATCAAGACTTATCTCCGATAAACTATGTCACGAAAAAGATCGAATGGATTGGCTATGTTATCAATTGAGAAAGAAATAGTTGAACAGTTGGATTATTCAAATCTGATTAATATTTGTTAAGAATTGAGGTTCCATTTTAAAAGGTCAACCTTATTAAGAGGAGTAACCCAATCCTTTATAAGTTGGTTTATGTTTACATCTTTATTCGATGTGAGATTCTATCCCTTAACATGTTTCCGTAAGATGGTGGCTCGTTTGAGCAGACCAATTTTGAAATTCGTGTGCTCACTTTTTTTTAGTCTTAATCGGATCGAATTACTCGTTGGAGTTTAATGGGCTCTGATATCATGTTAAAAATTGTGGTTCTATCTTAAAATGTCAAACTTATTAAGAGGAGTAACAAAATCCTTTATAAGTTGATTTATGTTTACATCTTTATTCGATGTGTGATTCTATCCCTTAACAATATTTTTACCTCTAAAACCGCAAGGTGAATAGTATTTTAATTGATCGTCTGGAACATTGTTTGCATTGTTATTTGATTTATAATAATAATTTTTAGTATGTGCTTGTTTGAGCCCATTTTTTGGTGTATAATGCATTTTGAAATAATAAATTGATGGAGAATGTGTCGTTAAAAAATAAGGAAAAATTTTGGGTTTACGTGTAATATTATTTTATTAAAAAATATGTGGTTGAAAATAAGAAAGAAAAAAATGTATTTTAAAAATAATGGGGATTAGACAAAAGTTATAATACATTCTTTTTGTTTTACAGTAAAGTTTTAACAAGTTAACAATTGGTACCATAATACACTTATATTTTGCATGCATAATACAATTTTGGGGGGCCTTATTTATGAAGTTCGTCTCACGCCCCCAAAATCATAGAACCGGCACTGGGTGGATCTCAACAGGCTTGATATTTAGCTTCAACAAGCTTCTCTATTTGTTGTTTTGATTGTTTGCCTTTTATCACTAGTTCTTTTCTATTTGGGAAATGTAATTATTTAGCTGAAGAGTTCTTGTCTCGCACACAAAAGCTGGACGTGATGAATCTTTGAGCAACAGCCTTTTTCAAAAGTAGTAATTGTAAGATGGATAGTTGAGATGACATGTAGGTGCTTTTGTTTGATTCTAGTGGAGAAAATTTGATGCAGGCGGAAGTGTTGACCGAAGAAACTGTATGTTTTCAGTGTTATATATGTAGTTTTGAAGCACAAAAAACTTCTGGTGTACTGAGCTTGACTGCGTGTGGTGGTTGTTTGCTTTGAATAAGCTCCTAGAAATCAATGGTTCCTTCTTTTCTGCTTTATTTATTAATTTTAGGATGCCAGAAATTCGCTGTTTTGTCTGATCTTATGCACATTTTCTTTTGTCGGAATTCACAGGGTGAACTTCTCTGAATGGTGCTGTCTTAGTTGATTTGGTAAAACAATATTCTAGGCAGTTGAGAATGCGTTTAATTGGACAATTAAGGCATCATTTACCATATGGATACTTTAGAAAACCCATTGGAGCTCCTGTGACTGTACCTTGTTTGATCAACTTATTTGGGGTGACTAGAAACTTTGCTCAACCTGCATTAAAAGAGGAAGAAGGGGAGGAAGAAGTAGAGATAGACCAAAGAAAACTTCCAGCTGATTATAATCCTGAAACTTTTGATCCCACAGAGCATCGCAGTCCCCCCACGGAAAGAGTATGGAGACTTGTTGATGAAATATCTGAACTCACACTGGTTGAAACTGCAGAGCTCTCTTCTATTATGATGAAGAAGTTGGGGATGAAAGAGCTGCCAGTCGTGGGGGTCATGAAGCCAGGTGCTGCTGGAATGGCTTCAGTGGCAATGAAGGCATCAACGGCAGCCAAGGAAGAAAAGAAACCAGAAAAAACAGCTTTTGAGCTGAAGATAGAGTCTTTTGACTCAGCTTCAAAACTCAAGGTAATTAAGGAGATTCGGAGTTTTACTGATTTGGGACTAAAGGAAGCAAAGGACTTGGTGGAGAAGGTGCCCGCCGTGCTTAAGAAGGGGGTGCCAAAAGAAGAAGCTGAAAAAATTATTGAGAAGATGAAAGCAGTTGGGGCTGTCGTTGTTATGGAATGAAGTGAAAATAAGTATTGTGCTCGTTTCATCATTAATGTCTTTTAAATCTAGTAAATTCTTTTCTCAAGGAAAAGCAGCCTTCTTGTACTTTTAATTTCATATCTAGATCTAGAAATAGAGATCTCATAACAGGTATTGAATTCTCCAAATTTTGGTTTAGGTACTTGTACTTGCTACTCTATGTTGTCTGTCTAATGGATTCTGTGCTTGCGAGCTTAAAAATGAATATTTCTTCTTATGCCCTTCTTGGATGCATTTTACCTTGAAGTACCGGTAACCTTGTCACACATTGTTAATGGCATTGAGCTTTAGCGGCATTTCCACAGCCCAGCACCTATGTGGTTTTACTCTATTATGCCTCTGTTTGGCAAGTTTATAAGCAATTTGTAAAGATGAATAGTAATTGATCATATGAAATGGTGCGGATAATGATGAGTAGCAATTATAAATGTGTGGGTGAAATTAGAATTTATCTATTTGCCCTGATGATTTTAACTTCTTGAATGATAGGATGAGATATAGCAACAAGTGATTGGATGGTAGTATTCTGTCGAAGATGGCAAAATTGTCTGGCAATATAGCAAGATTATTGAAATTAATGTTTGATTTTGACTTTGACTTTGACTTTGACTAAATTTATCTATTTATAAATTTGTATCCAAACAATGGCAAATTGTAATTCCGTGTAGTTTTTTGTTTTTCCTAATAGGCCTTCCCTAGCTGTCCAACATAGCCCAGGTAGAGCCACTATGAGGACGACATGGCCCGATTATTGAGATTGGCTGGATAGCCCTGCTGCCACGTTTTATTAACCCATGTTTCAACCTTAATCTTTAAAAGCTCATTTTCAACGACTCATTCTCTTAATAAAATAATTTTATAAGCGTTACTCTTTAAAAACTCTTTTCTCAACGATGCATTCTCTCAATAAAATGATTTTATACGTAAATTCAATTTTTTTTCCTACTTTATAAACGTATATTCTTCGAAAAATAACTATTATAAAATTTATTCTCAAAAAAATGGGACGGGACTAAGAGTAATTTATCGTTTCTCCTTGTTTGAAATTCAACATTAATGTTAACTATGTAAATATACCAACCTCGTTGCTATGAAATGCATGCATAGGACTAATTAATGATGTTATTATTGAGATCAACACTAACCAATGGATGTTTGGCAAATGTTAGTTACAAGCATCATTTTCTATGCATGCTTAGGAGTTGGGGAGAGATGAAAGATATTAATTAAATTTCAAATCTCTGTAGATGTATTTAGGTACATTCATGAATACATTGAATTAGATTGATTTAAGTTACCAATAAGTATTAAAAGTCAAAGCATTAGGACACTCCACCGCCCTGCCCAAATTACATGGTAATTGGTAAATCGATATATGTGATACCAGTATTTATACGATGGACATTTCATCATATCGAAGCTTACCAACGTCGACTAAACAATGGGTATTCAAATAGGATTAATCTACTTTGTCATAAGGAAAATGACAGAGAGATTGACAGATGTGTATGTAACAGTAGATGATTGGATGAAAAAAGTTGACTATATTTTAGACTGTTCAATGATAGAATTATATTAAGATATCTGATAATGTAGCATGATTGATTCAACTATGTTGAACCATCCACAGCACTAGTCTTTGCGGGGCAGAGATTGATATTTTATTATAAACTGATTATGTTGTGGACACTACATAACATGACAAGGACGACACAAATGATATTGACAAAGTTTAAAATTATCCCACTTCGAGGTAAGAGAAAATAAATTGTCTAAATATTTGTGACTAGACTAAATGTAACAATTATATGATTTACCTTTTAAGCATAATCTAACCCCCACTTAAATTCCACTTAAAATAATTAAATGTATATTAGCAAAAACTAAAGTGGAATTTAGAAAAAGTAAAATTTCATATTCCTCACCCATCCATCACCAGGCCAATCGATGCCTTCAATGGTCAAAGTTCAAACACCATTTTCATAAATGCAATTACGTTGACAACGCGTCACCACCACCTTTATCCATAACATATACGTGCAAACATACACTGATTTGTTAATGAATGCGCATATACACACATATGTAGGGAAGTGAGATTAAAGGTTCTGACCTTTTGTGTCGTTTGTTTTTCTTTAAGATTGGATTATGAGGAGAAAAAATTATTTGTAATGTAAATTGTAAATATGGTTGACAACGAAAGATTTCTATAATGACATAATATGCAAAATAACAGGAGATACCAAATATTTACAAGGGATTTATGGACTTCTAATGCCCTAGACTTTTGTAGAGAACTTTCTTTTTCTTTTTTTCTTTTTTTCCTGAGAGAGATAATATATGGTTTTGCTTGATTTTTCTATTCATGTTTTTTGCTTCTGAAAATTTTATTGTTATGGCTCTTAATTTGTATATGCCAAGTAATTTATATGAATAAAATTCTGCTTATCTTTTTCCTTTTGTAGCTTGTATCTAAGGTTGCCGTGGTCAATGTGATTGTATTTGTGAAGGTGATTTTTGGCCGTGCCTTCTGACACTTGGACCCGTCCTTCGCTGCTTCAGCTCGTATTAAGCAATTAAAAATAGAGTTCTCCGTTTTTTCTCTGCCTTCTCCATATACGAGGCGCTTTTTCTCACCGTTTAGGACCCGATAAGACCTTATCTTTTAAAAACGTTAATTGAAAGTGAGGAGGGGTGGAGGATCAAGAAACTTGTATTGTAGGTTTTGGAGAGACATTGAAATTTATTACAAACTAGAGTATACAAATCATGAAACATGATGTCCCTTGCTTTGTCTACAATGTGAATTATACAACATATTTCTTTTTCATTAATTTAATAATCAAATAATGCACCAAATGAGCTTATTTTTGCACAAGTGATTATATTAAATTATTGATTGGCAAGAAATGCAACTAGGAATAATACATGTTACGCCTCATTTTTCCAAGGTCCAGGAAGAGGCGCCACGTAGCAAGCCACGTAAGCAAAAAGTCAACAAGTCAAATAAAGACCCTATAAAGTCAAAATATGAAGAAATCAAACAAAACCAAAGTCCTTGCATTGCAAGGCCGAGGCACTACCTCAAAGGCCGAGGTCCATATTGAGGTCGAGGTCCGCTGCTGAGGCGCTGCCTCAAGGACGAAGTACTACAATCTTGGGTTGAACCATTGCCTAAGGAAACAAAGAAAAGAGCTGAAACTCTCCACTTGGAGAACCACCTCAAAGATCTCTCCGAGACTCTCAAACTCTTTTGAAGTTCATGAAGCCGACGCTGTCTCTTGTAATAGATTTGAAGATCTTTTAGAAGTAATTGATATGACATCTGTAATAAAGTTTTGTCAGTGTGTCAGCCTATTGCATAAAGCGGCTGACCCCTTGTTAATGCATTAATTGCATGAATGAACAATGATGTGACGTCCTAACAAAGGAGATGGGGCCACATGGTTCTGATCCAATGGTCACCACCTCGGCTAAGATAGTATAAATAAACTCTCTTTGTAAAGAAAAGGGGTTGACTGCTTTACGATCAAGAAATCAAACACATACCTACTGAAAAACTCATGGGAAATTCATAAGGAAATACTTAACAAGTTTTTCATCAACATTTCTTTACATGTTCATTGATTACAAATTCTAATGTTAAACATTGTGAATTTCCTACAAATTATTGATTCAATATGGCCTTCCATACATTCCTTCAAACAAAGAGAATTGAATATTCTTGATTATCTTGGTTTGGTGATCGTTGTTCGTGCGGTTGCTTTCGTTCCACCTGTTGGAGCTCGAACATTTTTCGTCTCTCGTTGAAAAGTACATCCCGCGTCCATTTCCTCATTGCTACCGTCGTTACTCCGGTAGCAATGCGTCGAATCGTACTTGACTTGGTGTGAGTGGGTCCGGCATATGTTGATTCATTTTTTTATGTCAACAATACAATTTTTTCTAGGAAAGCGTTCCTATCTTATGAAGGTATTTTTGTTTTTTCACACTAGCTGGTCAATCTTGCTCAAGAACATAGATTTTTTTTAACTTTCAAGCTGCTTTTTACGCTCTCTGAATTCATGAAAACTAAGTTGAGACTTCGGTGGCTCTAGAATCTAGCCCCCTTTTTCCTTTTTTTTTTTTTTATGGAAAAGTTGTAATTTTCGTCCTCAACCTTTGTGAAACGTAACAAAATTACTCTCAATCAGTTTGAGTGGACCAAAGTTGCTACAAAAACCTTTGAGGAATTCAAGCAAAAATTAACTTCTGCTCCCGTTTTGACATTACCAGGTGATATGGTAGCTTTTAGCTAATCGAGGCCCTACCAGGATCGTGGAGTAGCTCGAGGACTCTATAGTAAGCTCGAGGACCAATCCCTCCTCGACGACTCCTAGGCACGATCTTTTCTCGAGGACTCCAGCCATCCGTCTTTCCCTGATTTGGTGGAGTAGTCCTCGGGGTCTTGCCTAGGCCTCGAGAAACATATGTTCTCGAGGTATGTCTTAATAAGTCCTCGAGGTTCTCTACTACCAAGTCCTCGAGGTAAAGTCTTCTACCCCTACGTCTTAGCACTTAAAAGAAGGAGGAGTCCTACCTCACCAAGGATTCTACCCTAAAAGTCTAATCCAGGTAGGACTCTTCTAGATAAGGACGTTAGATCAGTTACCGTTCTATCAGGAATGAACCACACAGTCCTACTAGGACTCTACCACCTAGCCCTATAAATATGGGCTCCAAATTCGGTATTAAGGTACGTTCTACATTTTTTACAGCATATAGCCTTACGCATAAAATCCCCTATCTGACTTAAGCATCGGAGGGGCGACGAGGTCATACCTCACCGCCTTTGTTTCAGGCACTGGAAGACTACGTTCGTGCTCATCAACAGTCGTCGGAGTCGGGAACAGCCAGGTATGATTTTTTGTAGCATCATTGGCGCCGTCTGTGGGAAACGCTACCAAAAGCCATGGTTACCACATGCTCCGATTTTCTAC